TCTCATAGTATGCCTCTCGTCCAATTAAATGACTTGCTCGCTCTATGACGCGTTGAACCCAATGTGAGCAAATTACTCTGAATGCTGCAACGCAGCACCTGAGATTACTTCCAAAAAGTTGTTCACGTTCTCAATTTTTTACGTTCAACGTTATATTCGTTCGGTACACTTTGGTACATACGTGTACCGTTACACCCCTACCAAACAACTAATCGATAAAATACAGATTATTGACAGATTAACAGTCGTGGAAGATTATTATAAATTGCAGCCATTGCCAAACTTTTTTTCCCCCAGAATTGAACAGATACAGCATCTCTGCACAGAAAGACAGACATGTAAGTCAAAAGGGTTAAAGAAGCGCGGTCTGCTTGTTCTCTGACATGAAACGCCATCAAACAGGTTTCATTAGCGTGGATTAGAACAATTAAATTTTCCAATTGACTTTTTTCCATATAAACACAGCGTCTTTATTCCTTTTTAATTGAGCTGGCAGATTTGAAGTCAGTTCTTAAACAACAATAAAATGTTTGTCTTTTGACTTTACGAGACATTAAGTTTCCTCATTCACATTTCCTGTTAATTACGTGTGAGATTTGATGGCCTTGATAAAAGAGCGGAGGGTGAGGTTGGTTAGCAGGAAGCAGAGAGAAGGACTGATGGAAAGACGAACAAGTGAAGCAGGGTCTAATAAGAATCAGAGTGGTTCCTAAAGAGCACCAAATGTTTGCCCCCCAGCGAGACCTACTGCAACTAGCCCACCATGCACACTCTTCCTCTTTCCCTGGCGCAGCAACCACACCAAAGCTTGTGGTGAGGTTTTAGGCATGTAGTGAAGAGGTGAACCATTAGTGTCAAGGCGGATGTAAATGTGTTAATCTACCAACTGCAAAACCTATGGCCCATTAAAAGAAAAAGCAACACATAATCCATCGAACAAACACTTATGTAATGGGCTTGGAGCAGTTCCAATCTCTATAATCTCTCTGCAACAGAAATTATTCAGCTTAATAAAAGTCTGCTCCTAAATTGGTTATGTTTGGCAATGTCTTTGATGCATGGTGAGGGTAAAAGCCTCCCTGTTGTGTGTGTGATGTACCTTGAAGATGCCCACCCAGTCTTTTGGGTGGGGTGGGATGTAAGGGGTCAGGGTGTAGCAACACTCCAGGGGCACCTGGGGCAGGAAACTCTTCCCCACGTTCTGGAAGATGACGTGGGCAAAGTTGGACGTTTCCATGATGCTGACGCTGCTGCCCGGCGGCGAGTCCACCACCTGGAACGATGACATTGTATCCTGTCGGTCACTTCATTGGTCTGTAGGACAAAAGAGCACAGGACACAGAAGTTAAGTATCGCAAACAGCAGAATAAAGAAGAAGAATGTCATTCAGTTGCACACAGAAAACAGAAAAGGGTAAAAATGTAGTCAAACACAGGCTTATTCTGTGATGAGTTCCCAAGATCTCTCAGAAAATGTATTTGTATTAAAGACCAAGCATAGGCATAGTGGTATATACCAAACCCTAAGCAGAGGTATTTTTCATATTAAGTGAAAGTATACTGCAAGGGTCTTATCATAGAGGGTATCATGTGCTGTACAGATGACGAAGCCTCGGAGGCGACTGTATGATTTTGAGTTGTATAAACATAATTGAAATGACTTGAATAAAATAGCCACAGTCTCCATCTTGCAGAACTAAACCTGCATATAATTGGTTAAGACAAATGCTGTGTCAATGATATGTTCAGCACAAAGAAAACCTTTCTTTCCTAACTTGCCTTCAGTGCCGCAACCAAAGCAAATGATGCAGCGTCCGTAAATAACATGAAGGCTGAGGAGCTCAATCGTGGGATAATTAAAAGTACAAATTTACCATTTTGAGTGCAACCCTATTCTCTAAATTTAATATTTTATGTTGTGGTATTGTATATTTACCTAAAAGGGAATTGTATTTGTCAATTGAGAAGTCACGATGTTTATTAATCGATTAGTTGATCGACAGAAAACAAAATTCAAACTTACTTGATTATAAACTAATGTTTCAAAGTAACCTTTCATGCAAAAATGGCAAACAATGCTGTTTTTAGCTTCTCTATTATGGAGATCTCATGCTTTTATCAGTTGTATATCTCATTAAAGTGCATATCTTTATGTGTTGGACTTAGATATCAAGACTTTTAAAGAGATCCCCTTGACTTTGGGAAAGACATTTCCCTTATCTTCTGACATGTTATAGACCAAACTTTCAATCAATTAATATAGAAAAGAATCGGCTGTTGCAACATTAGAAAAAACTTCTTAGCTCTGAAGAAGAAGAATGTTTTGTCTGAGGTTCAAGAGGAGCTTTCTTAGTTTAAAGACAATGATGGCATTGTGAGTCTACTCCACTTCCTTTAACAAGGCAATGACAGTGTAAGGAAATTGCAGTAGGACATATACTGCAATGAAAGTGTGTTTTAAGACTGTTACATATTACTAAAAGGCAACATAACACTGCAGAATACATTTGTACTATTTTTCTTAGCCTCTAAAAAAACAATACTCAAACATACCCTTTAAGTAAAGATAACTTCTTGCAACAAATTGATCACCTAGCTAACATAGTTAAGGAGGCTTAAAGCAACATTATACCCATGTTACAAGACAGCACCACACCCCTGTGACGAATCACCTTACAGCAAGGCAGTTAGCTTTAACTAATTAAACTAAGCATTACAGAGTATAAGAAGAGCAAGTGTAAATGTGAAGCTGCTTAACAGTGATGCAAATCAATGCATCTTGTACTGTATTAAAGATTAAACAACAAACCATTTCCACTCAAGATACATGTGAAAGTAAGTCACAACACATTCTCAATCCAGCCAAGCAGCTAACATAACAATGTCTGTACAGTGAGCCACATTGATCAACATTTCTTCATGAAACATCTAACGCAGAGCTATGTATATAAAATAACCTCAGTTACTCAGAGGATAATCTATTTACGGTGGCAAGGCAGCTAACATTAGCTTGTGAACAGGCCATGTCGTGTCAAGTCACTAGCTAGCTTTCCTCGTAGGTCTGCTAGCATGCTGGCACAAGACGCGACAATCACAGGCATTGATTGAGCATGCAGTTAAAAAAATAACCTTTGCATATGAAATCCACTTGCAAAAAATAGCGAGTTTCTGTCGGGCAGGCCGATGTTTTTGCCACTGTCCCCGTTGTTGACAAAGCTCTGACGATGATGCGTCTCTTCCTGAATGATGCTCCACTTCCGGGATGCTGAGCACCACCAATGATGCTGAGGAGGGGGAGAAAGCAGATGTCTCTACTACAGAAAATAACTAAATTAGTTACAAAAGTTAATTCAATCAGTTTAATAATTATCTTCTCTTGCCTCATACATTTGTAGCTAATTTGACTTACAATAATAACCCATAATTGCTATGGAGATCATCTGCTGTGTATATACAATGTCATAACTATATAGCATTCATTACAATACAAAATATATACTGCATAGCTAAATAATTTGTTATGAAATCTAATGATTTTACGTTTGTGTTCCTTTTAAGTGGATACTGGACTTACAAAAGTGGCTAAAGGGCATTAGGCAGTAGCACAGGATGTCCCGCCTTTGCCTTCTTCTGATTGGCTGCGGAAACGTATCGAGAGCTGCGATTGGTGGAAACCGCAACTGATCATAACAGTTCGGTTGGGCTTTCCTTCCTTGACAGCTGTCACTGTACGCTGAGGTCAAGGGGAAAGAAGCATGGCTGCGATGTTTAGAGGGTCGCGAAACCTATTGTTAAGGTGGACAAAGCATGTCGACCTTGCTTTCGGTAACGTATTCGCTTATGTTGTCAGTTTCCTTGTGCCGTTTTCCCACGTGTGTTGAGGGTAAAAGGCAATCGGAACATGCTCTGCTACAGCCTGTTAGCTAGCTCGTTAGCCAACTGAAAAAAGTGTGAATACTTACTGCTCATGCTAGTTAAGTAAGACAGTGTGGACACAATGTCCTGAGTCTGTCACCTGCTGCGTTGTGTTCAGTCTGCAGTCTGTTAGGACAGTGTGCTTAATGCATAAGCATAATGAAATGTGAAGCAATAGCCAGCAGCAGCTCATTTTAATTGACCATGATCTCTTTTTTAAAGACACCTTTAGAGTCTAGAAGATGGATGGGTAAGATATGGATTGAGCTCTTATTGTGTTAGTCTGCTCTGGATGTTGCTATTCTGAATACACCAATGTGTTGGTTAATTGGTAGCTTTTCTTTGCAACACAACTCCCACTCCGTCCACTCCTCCTGCCCCCCCTACAATACAACACAACTGTTTTTTTTGTATCAGAATCAGTGAATGTGGATATAAATTGTCCTTGTTGAGACGCTACTTGTAATTCGAAAACAATTGCCATGATATTATAGTTACACTGCTCCTTCCTTCACTGCATTTAACTCTGGTGTTCAAATTGTTGTGCTATGAAGTATGAACTGTTGCTTTTTATTCTTTAATGTTGTCATTGCATTGCAATGGTGTTATTTGGCTACACAAATAATTTCCCTTAATAATGGTAAAAAAAACAGTGCTTTCTCTTTTCCCCTGATACTACCTTCATGAAGCAGACGTGGTCTTTCCCCATTCCTGTACAGAAAGTCTCAAGTCCATTGTACAGTAATAACAGCAATCACTTCAAATGGGTTACCACACTTGTGTGAACAGCAACATTAGCCATATTATTATTATTCTCTTAAAACATCATCATAACAGTACATGTTATAGAAAGATAGTAAATGTCAGCTAAATGCAATGTAATGTAATAGTAAATAGTGTCATTAGTAGCAAAATATGTGGTCATCTCAATCTTTGTTATTGTTATTTCATAGATCACATCGTAGATAATTATGTTACCAGCTGATGGTGTGTCATTAGGATAACACTTATGTTAGGACAGTTAATGTCAACTTGAAGGAATAGTTTTATCTCCAGAGCAATAGCATTGTGATACAGTATAGTATAGTATATGATGATGAGGAGGTTGTTACATTTACAGTAGAGATTGTTGTTTTTGCTTCACTGTCCAGGCCTAATCCTATTGCTGTGTTCTGGGTTCAGTGCCAGGGTTTCCACTCTGTTTAGTACCTGTTAGCCTGGCTGGACCTTGGCTGAACCAGAAGTGTTTAATAGCCTGGCCAGACTGCGCTGAAAGCTGGTCTTAAGTTACAGTAGACAGATTTGCTCTGTTGTTATTGATTGTAAATAGAGAATTTAAATCTTGAAAATATACATTTTGTCGTTTTGTATGTTCCTTTTAACTGGAATGTTTCCTGAGAGACATTAGCCATAGAAACCAAAGTTTTCCATAAGACTACTAGTAGAAAGTAGTCTCACCATCATTTTAAGTACTCCAATATTCTAATCAACTGCACTATCTTTAGTAGATAGCTACTGTGTATAACTTGTGTTTGAGTTGCTTTGGGATTCTTAATTTTCTCTATATTTTCCACACATCTAATGACAACTTTGTTTTCCTCCTCAGTGTCATCGCGATCAATGGCTTCAAAAACCCCCATTGGGTTTGTTGGCCTGGGGAACATGGGCAGCCCCATGGCCAAAAACCTGCTAAGAAATGGTTATCCTGTTATTGCCACTGATGTCTTCCCTGAGTCTTGCAAGGAGCTGCAGGACATGGGTGCCCAGGTAACACTCAGTAGCATATTACATATTGACATTTAACAGAATATAACATATACAATTCGACATTTAAACCAACAAACTTGACAATTATTGCAAGCTTTTACGAAGCACTTATTGAAACTTAATGCAGATCTTTTTAGAAGAGCTACAAAATAAATATATGCCAACATAGAAGCCAACAGCTTCTCATAAATAAGAACTTCAACACATCCAATTTGTTAATGAATATTGTGTTGTTGATCTAATGTTTTGTGCAATTTTGACTCCAATCTTTAGGTGGTAGACTCTCCAGCAGACGTGGCAGAAAAAGCCGACCGCATCCTCACAATGCTCCCCTCCAGTCCAAATGTGATTGAAGTCTACACAGGTCCAAATGGCATCCTCAAGTAAGCATCATTTACTATTCACGCATCCATGCAACCCTAATGTACCTCTTAAACAATTATAAGACAGAAACATCACAATTGCAGCATGTTAAATGTATGAACAGAGGGGCGCTTGGCCAAACATTTGCTATACATGAAGTGTTGATGCTTTTTGTTTTGCCATCTTTAGGAAAGTGAAGAAAGGAACCCTGTTGATTGACTCCTCCACCATCGACCCTGCCGTCTCGAGAGAGATGGCCGTCGCTGCAGAGAAGATGGGTGCTGTGTTCATGGACGCTCCAGTGTCAGGAGGTAAGGTGCCAGCCACATTTGTTTCAATGTTTATCCCGTCTCTGTCACAGAATCGTTCATATTCTCTGCTCTCGTGTTTCACCATGTGCAGAGCTTTGTTTTCTACTCACACATGAAGCAGTGGAGAAACAGCTGAAGTGAAAATAGATAACGTGGTTACAAACAGACTCCATAATGAATGACATGATACCGTCATGGGAGACAGTTGTTTTGGTGTTGTAACCAGAGCTGTACCAGTTAATATTCGGTTAAAACAGATTAGTGATGCTGTTTTGCCTGCATTGTTAATCGTGAAGTGCTGCAAGTGATGTAATGAAGCGCTGGAGCCTTTTATTAGGACTGGACATTTTGCCTGACTCCTATTTTAAAAAATGGCCTTTTAAATGCTGCAGTGGTTGTCAGCAACTGGTCAAATCTTAACTTGTGAGCCTACAGTTAACACACCAGTTATCATTTACTGGATGGTTACTCAACCCCTGGCATTTGCTCACGGTGTTCTTCCCCACTGTTATGGAAGAAAGAACAAATAGGGGCAACAGTCAAACCAGCTTCAAATGTGACATATTTAAATGTGCTGGGCGATGAATCTCGTTCATTTCAACGTGAAGAGTGTCTCATGTTGATTTAAAAAAAGTAATTGTTAAATATTTGGAAAAGAAACTCACATATTATTAAATAAACGTTATTAAAATAAATATATTAAAGTGTTAAATTGGAGAATGGAATTAGCTGTTTTGGTAAAATTAGTGTTTAAATAAATGTGCCTATATGCTGCACACAAGCAGTCATCCTATATAAAAAACTGCATTATTAAACATGTGCATGTTTTTGATTTGCTGTCTTTCTCTCTAATGTTTTTACACCTGTTAAGTCCATCTCTGTATATTCTAGATTTTGAGATCTGTGTGTAATTTGCTGTTTTTGCTTATGCAAGCTTTGTCTCAAGGAATCACCGGTTTTCTTTCTTTCTTTATGACTAACTGTAAAACAGTAGTTAGGCCATTAAGACTAGGTGTAGATGGCATTATCAAAAGCAGAATCAGACTCTTAGTTGGTTCACTTGAGAATACCAATCATAGTGTTCGAGCCATGACCCCTCAGCCTTACTTCTGAACTGTCTTATTCTCTTTTGTATATCTAAACTATAGGACCTTTTGGGTTAGTGCTAGGACATGGGTTGTAATTACTGAGCGGGCCAGCCAGTAGGTGCCCTCTTGAGGTTTTATTGCTGCTTTTGACCAGAGGTCTTAAAGGCAAGGTTAAGGTTTTAAGTCCTCATTATGTTGGTCCTGTCTCCCTGTGACGGCTCTTTGACAGAGCACAGGATCACCAGTCGTCCTTAATGGGCTGAGCCGCTGTGGAGAATCCCGTGTCAGAGCTTTTCATGTTGATGGAGCCGTAATGGCGGGTATCCCATGTTAGTGCCTTTCATGTCAGATAAAGAGTCATAAAGAGGAGAGAATCTGCCCTCACATGGAGTGCAGGAAAGGAGAGGAGGGAGATAAGACATGAAGGAGACACATCGCAGTAAAACTGTCCGTCTCTCTTTCTCTTTCACACACACACATTTCTTATTTTAATTCAGGATTACAGTGAAGGTATGCTACATGCTCACATTCCTGCTCATCTGGTGACTAACTCTGATCATAACAGATTTGCCTTTTATTGCACAATCTTGAATTCATGCACAAAACGCACTCTATTCCCCGCCCTCGCCCTGACAAACACAGACTTATCCCACACTGGCATGTTTACCAGCTGGCGTCTGCAGAACAGACCCGACTGCAGTCAGTGAGATCAGAGCCTTAAGCCTGTTACTCTCCCTTAACACACACGCTGTTTACATGCTATAGACAGTTCACAGTTTGTGTGTGTGCAGTCCTCTGTGAAGGTTCTTCCTTTCCTGTCACTTAACTAAGCCTCTTTTACTAGCCTGAGATGACCAATGATTTACCTTCTACCTCTGGCCTCTACAACTAGCTGTACAGACACTCTTCTTTCCCACACACATGCACCCGGCACCCAGTGTCACCTTGGGACATCCTCACGTCATATTCAAAAGTGCATAAAACATTCGCTTACCCCGAAATGTAAGGAGTATCCCGGTTTTTGATTGTTGTTTGTCTTACAAAAAAACGTATATTTAAAGATGCCACCACCTACGTCTTTAGGAATGTGATGAGCATTTGTAATAGTTTCTGACATTTCTTAGAAAGATAAATGTTTCTGATGTCTTTCAAATGCACACACTTAGACTTTCAGCCCGACTCGTGAATGGTAGTTTGTGTGTGATCTTGATGTCCCAGGCTAAACATAAGGAGACATACATTTCATGAAAGATGGTTTCAGCATGTGGCAAGAACACATGACCACCTCCCTATCCCTAGCCCACTGTCCATCTCTCTGGGTGGGATATGAGGTTACATGCTCTGTTCCAACCAGGAGATGGCACCCTACCCAAATAGGGCATTGTCATCCTCAGGAGGTTTGTGTGTATGTTTGACAACAGCTCAGCTCTCACTGTGAGTGTGACCAATAGTACTTATAATATGCCATATATATATATATCCGCAAATAAATCAAATGTTACATATGAAAATAGAAATTGTCTTTAATACATACAAAAAAAACTGGCTTATTCTCAAGCAGACACACAATGATGATACACATTGATTTATTCTATTCTTTTAACATCATTTATTATATTTGCTGAATGAACTTTATAAATATAGACATTTTCTAATCAAAATGTATTTAGTCCACTTGGTGTAACGATACACTCGGCACAGACTTGCTGATCCCCTGTAAACTCTTGCAGACACAGTCTGCTCTTTTTGTGGTTTCTGCATTTGTTTTTAATTTAGGTTTTACTTCTAGATAAAATTAATCCTGTCGTGTATGTGTGGTGTGTGAGGTACTGTGTTTTACACAGAAATGTTTGTGTGTATGTGCATTGTGTGCGTCACTAGAGGTTTGGCATGCCAACCGTGGGATCTGAATAGTGGAGTCGCAACCCTTTTTAAAAAGATCTATCAAAAGAACTGCAACTTTCTTCTCGTGGGTATCTTGCCTGCTTGCACACTGACCAGCATCTTGGCTTTTGCTCTGCAAGACCCAGCTGTGTCCTGGTACACACACACACACACACACACACACACACACACACACACACACACACACACACACACACACACACACACACACACACACACACACACACACACACATATAGTTTTAATCTCTGAGCAAACACTTTCCTGCATAGACACAGTTATATTAACTTAGACACTGGCTCGTCAGGCATTTGCTTGCACACACACTTCTACCACTCTCTGGTCTCCTTAAAAGCGTCCGCATGCAAAGTTGACCCACAACAAAACAAACTCTGATGTCACAGGCTCAGGGTGTTGGCACGGCGATGGCAAAAATAGGAGGTCTGGCTAAAAAGTGGCGGGGTCGTTAGCAGTAATTACCCAGAATGCCTGTGTTTGTGTCTGTGTGCCCATGGTGGGCTGCCACATTGCTAACGGACGATGGCTTTTAAAAGGCCCTAAAAACCTTTTCATTGTGTTGTTCCCAGCGCTGGGAAAGCCTGCTATCGGGGCAATTGAAAGCAAGAAGGAGCTGTTGTGGGACCATCGGCACTCGGGATATGTTGCTTTTTTGCGAGCTCTTATAATCCTTAGCTAACTACCTCTTTAGGCTGAGTCTCAACACCGCTCTAATCATAACCATACCACATCAACTGAAGCCTGAGTGTTGCAGTGTGTCATTTGCCGACAGTTTGAACGTCATCCTCCAGCCTGTAGGAGCTTGTTCAAACCAACGCTGGCACCAGTTTGTTCGTCACACAACACTGCCGATCCACTGCATGCCGACTGATACAGACTCCATTTCTCCCTCCAGGCAAACAGGACCTGGGGCTTCTCCCACAAAGATGATCTTTTACTATGAGTAAACCTTAACATGTAGTCACACTTGAAATACATATAGTCATCATTGTATTTTTAAAAGGTTTATTCTTGCCCTTGGACATAAGATTTTAACAAAACACTAATTTTTTTCTGGAGCTTTTATTGACATTACACTGTCTCAACTAATATTTATTCGTTAAAGCATGAACTTTGGTACTTGAAGTCAACCTCTAAATGTTCTTTTTGTCACTGTTACTTCCCTTGTATTTCTGAGCCTCACTGTGCAGAGTAATGTATGTGAAGAGTTTGAAACAGGAAACCAGTTTTCCTATTCATCTGATATACGAGTAAGTTTCTCTGTGCTTATTTTATATGTGAACGTAGGAGGTATGAGCACACTTTTCATCACTAGTAAGGCAGCCCATCTCAGTCCACTATGTGTGATGTGTAAATCTGACTCCTTAAAGAGTTTTACATAGTTGGACTTTTGGGAAAAACCATGTTAGATATTAATGTTCTTACCAAGAATATACTTTTTATATATCTTTAAAGTTTTTTCACAGAATAATTTTGGTCCCAAAACAATATGATTTGTTTTGATTGGGTTACACATTTAAATCACAGTATAACATGCTACCATTTTCTAAAAATGAGTTGATAAATGAGTGCACATGCTTTGGATAATTTATTTTCCATTATGGGCTTTTTTCTTGGCTCTATATGGTGCATTAATGTTACACTGAGAACTCAGACTCTTAGATTAAATGGTTGAAAGTAGTTACTGAAAGACTCAGTAGCCAGTTCAGACCAGTCTAACTAAATGTTTGCCACTGGTATGCTTGGTGAGAGGAAGCAGCGTAAGGGCTCTGAAGGCAGTTTAGTGAAGGTTAGTGGTATTTTCTGACACTGAGTTAAGGAATCATGTTGGACGGGTAGGGGGTGTTGCCGTCGCAGTCTGTCAAGTTGATGGCTGACCAGTACTACAGAGCGTCAGTGGTCCAAAGACTAGATTAGCATAACAAGCCTCTCACTGACGGGTTCTGGTGACATAGGGGGAAAGAGGGGGGGCAGTGGGAGAAAGGGTGTAGGGCGGTAAAGTGACCAGGGATGTCGATGATGGAGGGGTGGTGAGGGGGGGGA